GGAGCAGAGTGTTTCTAGGAGCAGGGCGTTTCTAGGAGCAGGGCGTTTCTAGGAGCAGAGCGTTTCTAGGAGCAGGGCGTTTCTAGGAGCAGAGCGTTTCTAGGAGCAGAGTGTTTCTAGGAGCAGGGCGTTTCTAGGAGCAGAGCGTTTCTAGGAGCAGAGTGTTTCTAGGAGCAGGGCGTTTCTAGGAGCAAAGTGTTTCTAGGAGCAGGATGTTTCCAGGAACGCTGTGCTCCTAGAAACACCCTGTCGCTAGAAATGTCCTGCGCTGATCTGAGACACTCAATTTTTCCAAGGTACGCATGAATAGTTAGAGAAGTATCCTTCCGCAAACCCCTGCATATGCCAGCATATTTTAGCTACTACACTGAAATCACCCTCACAACCTTATTAGGCCGATTTACCAAATGCCATTTGCCCTTCAGCTCAGCTATTGCCTTTTCGTTCTCCTGACTGTATCCGTCAAACCTACTTGTCGTTTGTGCTGCAAGTGGATAGGTCAAGGGCACAGCCCCTTCCATAATAGATTTAACTAGAGGATCCACCATTCGACTAGCACTGATGCCTTTGGGGTACGCATGCAATAGGTACGTTAGAAGAATCATTAGTCCTTGGTCTGGTAGCTTCTTAGGATCATTTCTAGAGCTATATTAGAAAACTCAGTAAAAGATATAGTTATGATATGTGTTTCTCACATATGGATCTCTAGAATATGGCTACAAGTCAAAATTATCCCAAATCCAACCTGAGATATCACATATGACCATCTCTTGCCAATTCTCGTATGCCATTTGAGGCTGTTCTCGCGTTTTTGTTTAGCCTGTGTAGTGAGGTTCTTATACTGCGACCCATATATTCTTTCTAAGATGACGGACTTTGCTATGCTAGCTAAACCCTTGCCCGAAGAAAGACGAATAGGTGAGCTAGAGTTATGTCTAAGCTCGATGAGTTTCTGCTCATATTGATGATATAATAGAACCCTTGCCATTCTTAGTTTGATAGGTTCGACTAATGAGTCAGCTGCGATCGTTTCAGCACACTGGAGGCTTTTGAATATCTTTTCTGTCAAGGACATTCCAGTCACTGGGTTGCCGGTGGGAAGACGAGACCACGGATCTTCTGCATCCCAACTACGGCAGAAACTATTGATGAAATCTCTTGCATCTTCTCGCAGAAACGAATCACCAATCTCAACAACATACTGGATCTCTTCGTATGAGGACCTATAGAGGCGGCTCAGCTGGTCGTACGAGTAAAGCCAATGTGTTACTATTGCGTCATCTGGTAAGGTAAATTCCGTCTCCCGTACCGGGCTTGTACTCCAGTTAGACGATAGAACGGATGGAGATATGGAAGGCATCCTTGACTGAGTAGCTAAGTGTAGGGAAGGGACATTATTTAGGATAGGTTCTGGCCCTCTGTCTTCTGCAGTCTCGAAATTAAAGGATTCAGTTGCATCTAAAGTAGTTCCTAATCCTTCTATGGCCGTAGATTCTTCCGGTGTTATGTATCGGGATACATGTTCTACGCTGTTGCTCCAACACGGCGCCTTTCTGTCAACAAAAGACGCTCGACTAATTTCGTTATAGACAGAACTATACTGACTTGCATCAGGTATTTTAGGATAGAACTGGACTCCTTGAGTATTAGATAGAGAAGTTTCCATTGCTTCGTCCAAGTCCTCACGAAAGGAATGCTCAAATAATAGCTTATGAGGGGAAAGCTTAGCCTGGATATAATCAAGACGTTTGCCCTGTATAGTTGCAAGCAACGTTAAAAACGCCTTGCCTAGATGGATGAACTGATGAGTGTCAGTCGGGCCTGCCTAGACCATGATACCGTACATCTTCTCCCGTTTCTTCCAACCTAGTCCAGCTATGGCTCAGTAGAGCTTCGTTCGCATCAGGACTCTATCAAATATCAGAAAAAATAACTCGAAACGATAAGGGTACATGCTAGGATAAGAGAGCGCATGATATGTGAAAGAATATGGCGTATCACTACGTGTAATATAGGACGGAGCACTGTGTTTAGGGAAAGACGATATAGGAAACTGTGCAGCGCATCAGGAGTGGTAGGAGGGAAAGACACAAAGTTTATTACCACTCTAACATTACTGACGACAGCAACTTTTAACCCACATACAGTCAATGTCGTTTTAAAAACAACCAATTTCTGTCCCTATGTGCCGAAAACGACCAATGGGAGCGCAACGGTCATAGATAGGTTGTCGCACACGTAGATGCGGGGTTGTGTGGCAAGAATAAATGTGCGTATATTTTGATCAACTTTTCCGATGCTCCTCTTATATGTATATGATCGTTGCGGCGGTTCATCGTATAATTATAATTTCTGCAATGGCTCGGTTGCAATTGCTGCCTTCGCATTCTTGCATATACTGCGATAGTCCGCTATAGCTACAATGTTCTGCACTAGCCACAGACGCATCCTTGCAGCGGCTGCGATAGAAGTCTGTGATCCTTTCAACCCGATTGGTCACTCTTTAGACATAGAGATGGATGTCAATTAATATGCGGCCACCTCTATAAGTAGCTCAAGCTAACCTACAAAATACGTGCAACCCAACCCTCAAAGACTTAAAAATCGCGGAACTGCTATCTAAGCAACATGCCAATCAGGTGGAGACCCTCTAAACCTATTCGAACGTTCATTGATGAACACGACTATACATATTTTAAAGACAGGAATCGTTATTGTGAACGCAGAGTCTTTAATGATAAGGGCCGATTTAGCGATCAAATACCTAAAGACAACGAGCGCGAGATATATGACGTTGAGGGGACCTTAGAGGTTCAAAGGCAACTCTTATCCAAGCTAGCCGCGGTTGAAAATCAAGTGACTGGAGAATCTGAAAACAGTGTGCACCGAAGGCGTATTGAGGCTCTTAAAGCAGACACGGTTCAAGCGTTACAAAAGACTTGGAATCAAAGTAGTCGGTCTACTGCCTATCGAAAATCACTTTATTTGATGCGTTGACGCAAGATCGATTATAGGTTCGATATATGTAAAGAAAAGTAGCGTTGGGTGTGATTATTTGTATTTATTGAGTACTTGATCTCTCGTGATCTCTCTAGTTTTACGTGATATTGTTAATTATGCTGGTGAAGCTCAAGCTGGATAGAATATTTAACTCACCATATAACTAGTCCTAGTTCTGGGACTAGAACCTAAGCTGCTTTAAGAATAGATTTCCGGGCGTCAACATCCATGCGCCTGGTCATGTTGCCGAGCGCGCTACGTATCCACAAGTGCCCAAACAATTTCTTTTTCACCAGCCCGGTGTGATGTTGCAGTCTAGGATATATTGCATTTGTACCCTTGCTCGCCTCTTCTCCCCCCCACCTCGGGTTGTCTGAATTAAACTATTCAATGCTTGGTTTGATGTCACCGAGAGTAAAAGCTCAGGAGAGAACAAGGCCTGAGATTTGAGTCCACAATACGTATATTGTCGCAGCCTGTGCAAAGCTGCAAAAGCAATAACTTCGGCTGAGCCGAAGCAACACGCCACTGCAACAGCAACAAGGATGCACCCCGCGCCTACGCATGCGACATATATCTATGCAGCCGATAAGGCTGAGACGTCTTTCAGTTTTACCTTGCCGCCCTTTCGGCCCTTCACCGGTTGCCTCTCTGCGCGACATTCACTTTCAGATGGCTCAAGATGCGGTACCTGCCGCCAACGCGATTGTATGTGGCCAAGCCCTGTTATTGTCACCGCTAACCCAAAAACAGGCAGCGAAAGTTATTGTAGCGTTTATTGAACACTCTGAGTACAATGGATACAAAATCATTACGCCAAAGCAATTCTCATCTGACGACTCCAACCTGCTCAGGGAACTGCAGGTTCAGGCCATTGATGCCGGTGCTGTGTCGAAGGTGAAAAGAGACACGATGGTCAACATGGCAGCATGGACTACCAAAGGCCAGCCCTGTGTACACGTCAACTTTCGCCCCATCCTAAGAGATAACCTTAATTACTTAGCATTTCTAACCTTATCTTTTATGGAGAAATGCGGTCATGTTGTGGCAGGCGTGTGTGTAACGTCCCTGGATCACTAGGATCGCTCTTGGAAAGGTATTTACGTGGGTATACGTTCGAAACTCTTACTGATCAAGGTAGGCTCTGGCTAAGATTAGAGAACAATCTCAACTACGACAGTTGGTAAGTGTGTGCTGTTAATATGCGCGTTGAGAGCTCTGACATATCGACTGACCCTTCTAGAACACCTTGAATCGCTCATACAGTACGGAGTCAGCCACTTGTCTGCTTAGCATATCGACAATTACGAAAGAAGTAAAAGGAGAAGAATCAGGGACTGCAAAATTGTCCTTGACACAGCGACAAAGAAGAGCACAACTAAGTAACGCCTGCGACCACTGCCACCGCTTGAAATGTAAGTGCGAGGCCCCTTTTCCCTATCGAAATGGTAAAAGGTGCGGTATCGAGTGCATTGAGCGGAAAAGAAAGCCGAAGGTCAGACCGATAACCACATCTTACTCGATACCTACCACTATACTCAATCTGGAGGCGGGCCCCGGCCCAGGGGTCAGTCAGATTTTCTATTGATACGCAGTGCGGGGATGGCACGTCTCCAGAGATGCGAAAGGACTGAAATGATCCAAGTTAGGATGGTCCTGGAAGTCTAGTTCTATGGATAACTATGTGTAGCAGACTTTTAGAGCAAGCGCAATTTTCGATATAGTTATCCTTATTAGAGCATCAAACAACACACTATGTTTCCGCCACTTCGATCTTATGCCACAAATTTACATACATACGTAATGTAACTATAATGCTGAATGTGGTGCCTAGGCTCCGCCATCGTGTCTTGCGTTGTTGCTTTGTGAGTAGATGGCTGCTGCTGCATTTGGTAGACGCGTTATATCAAGTAAGCAGCTTGCTCGCAAATTCTGCTGTCTGTGCCAGCCAGAGCCGCAATAGTAGCTCTATAGGTGCCAAACCGACGCGAGGGGACGCGCGATGACCTGCAGAGACCATTGCGGCTATTAGTGGGTGTATTTCTAGTCCTTCGTGATGATGATTCTAAAAAAATGAATACTCGCTGTTTATCGTGTTTCAGTTTTGATAACTGCAACTAACTAGTTAACTACAGTTAGCAAGTTCTAAGTGGCAAGATTCTCTCCTAACTAGAGAAAGACTAGCGTAACAAGCAAGACACTCTAGAGTGCTCCTGCTTGTTACGCTAGGCCAGATGGAGTTGTGTCTAGGATAAAGTAGATGTCACCAGCTAAGCAGCAAGCACATCCGTTAAGGACTGCATTAGCCCACCATAAGATAGGCTATTGTTTTGTACCAGTACAGTAATTAGCGATTGCGGTTTCACCCTTACACGCAGCTGCGCAACGATTTTGAACAACCCTGCCTTCTATACATAGCTTAGCGCGAGCAGTCAGCTGCAGAGCAACCAACATGATTTGTGAATTTTCAGTCTTATCATGACCAAAATTGTAGGATGCTGCCTGCAGTAGTGAAGCCGCAATCGCTATAGTCTTGTCACTGTAGGTGACGCTGTGAACGATGAGTTGCCGTATTGTGCCGTTGATCTAAGTAAGGTTTGCTTATGCGACAGCGGTCAACGCTGTATGTATCAACGTAAGTATTGGAGAATAATGTCAAGGTTGCTAATATCGCAATTATTTTGCTAGACCATTATTTTCTAACTACAAAATTACTAGAAAGCAAGTGGGAATCTATAACTCATACATTAAAACTAGACGGTGGAAAAATCAATATATACATACACGCCCTCTAGTGACGGACAGGCTAGTGACTAACAAAGTGCTTCGCATCGTTCGTCGACCCTTGAAAGTAACGAGACTCCAGTACAAGGCAAACATGCAAATAGGATCTATAATCGTTAGCAGAGGAATCTTATAGTAAGTCTACGTCGTAAAACGAGCGCAGATCTACAAGAAGAAACAAATACTTATATTGAGACCTACTTTAAATAGTAACTTAGACCTTACTTTGCCATTTAATGCACCTGTGTTGTATGCAATTGTATCCCAAGTCGTTAGAGCTAAAGCGTTAAGGGCAAAGACGATTAGAAGATAGCCAGCCATATCTAGGTTTTTTTGGAAGCGAGATTGGCGCATGTAGATACGCATGGCGATAACGGCGTAGACAAGGACCAGTAGAATCCATTCCAAACCCTTATTTTAGTTAGCTATGTCTCGTAACCACCAAACTTAGTAGTAGCCTACTGTACAATATAATTACCCCACTAATAATGTATATCATTCTAAGTAATAAGAGTCATAGATTATATATGTGCACGAGCGTATGATGGGGGTAAAAGACAGACTCAAGTTAGAGTGATAGACAAAACAGCGCTATAGGTGATGAATAACGGACATACAATACTTATGAAACACAAGAATATATTATGTATATATTTAAGGTTAGAAGGACCTTCAAGGTGTATTATTATGTTCGTCTGATTACTGCGGCCTCGGTATGGGTGATCCGGTGCAGGCCTGTATCAAACCGCCAGGATGTACATAGTGAAGTGTGCAGCTTACTGATGCGTGCAGCTTACTGATGTGTATTATGGATAGTTAGTTAAGTATTATAGTTGGCTGATTGTGAGATAGAATATATAACTAAGACAGAAACCGATTTATATTCAGCATATAAGATCTTATCTGACTATCTGTGTAACGGCCTTTTATCTTTATCTCGACTCTCTTTGTTCTAGGATCTTTATTCGTGCTGTTTTTACTCTGCTATAGCTGGATCTCCGATGTTCTACTTAGAATCTACCGCCCTTAGGTAGTCAAGGTTTCTACGACAATAACTGGATACATATCTAAAGAGCTATAGAAGACAACTAAGACTCATAACTAAGAGGCTTTTGGAAATGCAACAAACAGTGCATGTAGCGTTTGATGGGTGGTCGGAGGAATATAGGGAGTGGGAGAAGTGGGCTTTACTATCTGAACAAAAAGGCCGATGTTGGGAAAGTTTAGGACAACACAGATTAGCGGAGACAGCGCACCGGAAAGCATTACTATTAAGTACAGAGATACTAGGGCCTGAGCATCTATTTACTCTGGCGAGTATGCATAACTTGGCGTTAGTACTGAATAGCCAGAAAAAGTACGAGGAGGCTAAGACCATAAATGAGCAGACACTAGCCCGATACAAGAAGGTGCTAGGAACTGAGCATCCCTCTACATTAACAAGCATGCACAACTTAGCTTGGGTTTTGAATAGCCAGGGAAAGTGTAAGGAGGCTGAGGAAGTAAACTGGCAAACGCTAGTGCTGCGAGAGAAGGTGCTAGGGCCTAAGCATCCAGACACGCTGGCCAGTATGAGCAACTTGGCGTGGGTACTGACTAGCCAGAGAAAGTATAAGGAAGCTGAAGTGATGAACCGGCAGACGCTGGCGCTGCGAGAGAACGTATTGGGGTCTGAGCATTTGGACACGCTGACTAGCGTCTATTACCTTGCCTATTCTCTTGCTCAGCAGCATTATATAGATGAACCTTTGCGTCTATATCAGAGGGCATCTGTTGGATACGATCTCATCCTTGGAGAAGGGCATCCTACTACCTTAGCTTGTTGCCAGCATTACGCTAATTTATGTGCGTTGCAAGAACAGCAGCTTGTAGGACCGTTTTCAAAGAAGATATCAAGACTATCACGCGGACTTGCCAAGATTGTTATTAGGAGCTTTAGGTTTTAAAGAGGGCTGAATGATTGTTTGTGTTATCGTATGTAGACTGTAAATTGAGTGCTCAAGTGCAGGATTCAGCTTTTAGTAGAATTCAGGTTTCACTAATACATACTCAATGTTAGATATAGCGAGAATGATGTAACTTAACTATTTAATATACTAGTTATTTCTATACTTTTACTAGATAAATTATATCAATCAGGGACTATGTCTCGCAACGACTCAAAGATGTCTGCTTAGAGCATGAAAGCTATAGAGCCTATATAGATAGCGATTGTGAAGACGACTTTAAACACTAGTATCTCTCGGTTATCTATCAAACTTGAGGAACTGGACAAAGGAACGCTAGGTTCGGTCGGCTTGGAGAGATTCCGGGTTGAATCCGTTCCGTTGTTCCATAAGGGTAAAGGCAAACGGAGGGATGGGTTGGTTGGGAATAGAGAACCTTGCGAACCTATCGCACAAGTTGTAGTATGTACGATTGTAGAAGTCGTAGTTGTCATCCCAACACAAGCCCTACTAGTGACGTTGTGCGTGCTATTACTCTCTCGCCAAAGGGATGACGCATCTGAAAAACCTAGAAGCACTAAAAAGTAGAGGGATATCATCGTGAAAGTTGGAAGCTTCTCCTGCGACACTATGGCTGCTCTTTTAATATTTATTATCTGAATAGACTTGAAAAATCGATAGCCATCTAAAATTGTGTACTGTGGTTTTGTTAGGACCAGTAGAAAAGTACTGACTACCCATTCTCTACACAGACTTGGCGCAACTACAAATAGAGCTGTATCTATGGAGAATATATACAACAGTAGAACTGCAAACTTCTTATGAGCATTCACATGGATTCAATCGTCTCTAAAGTGCGCGTTGAGCTCGTTGACCTTGCTGCAACTTATGCAGCTGACAAGCACGAAAATGTTACGATTAGTCTGATTTCTGACTTCCAGCGAGCCTTATTCACTATTCTCGACGAGGGTATCCGAATTAAGGACCTTGAACAGTCCAAGGAGCTTAGAGACGAAATGATCTACCTGTTCGAGGATGAATATCCAACAGAACCTGCATGGCCGTATCTCAACCAATTAAAGAAGCAGGATAGGTGTTTCGCTGAGTTAGGCTGTAGATTTAAGCACGGAGCAGCGCTCTATAAGTCTTCTTCTTGCCAGGAACACTTTATGTGCGAGAATCATAAGTCAAGTCCTTGTATTGCAAAACACGGGAAAGTAGCAGGTCAGAAACACCAGGACGAGAATGATACGAAAAGTATAAGAAAGACAGCTCTAGATATAGCAAGTGCGAACACAGAGCACTTAATTGGAGGAGAGCCAGGTAACATGATGCTTGGAAATGAGAAGTCAGACGAAACGTATACAGAGAGAAGGCTTCTAGATACTGGAGGCCTAGATAAGGAGAAACCACCCAAGCCTGTAGTGAAAGACGCTGTAAGCATGGCAAAGCCCTCTGAAGATTTTTATTATTCTTGGGCAAATGACTTCCACTATAATACAGACGGTTCGTCCAGCGATGGAAGCGAATTGGACGACGATGTTGTGAACGGAGAAGAGAAGAATTGGGAGAACGCAGACATTGGAAGATAGACATTGCAGGATAGTCAAAAATTGGAACTAAATATTGATAATAAAGTCTAAGCTCTTCTCAGTCTAGTAAGCTCAAAATGTGTTGGAAAGTAATTGTTGTACTCTATCAAACGTGAAGAAGACTGT